GGGGGAGGACAACTCGGCCGCGAAGCAACCCCCGCTCGCTGGGAACCCGAGCCCACCTCGTTCAAGAGGGTGGCCAGTTGGGAATCGACCCGGCAAGGCCGCCGACCCGTGTTGCTATCACACCGCGCCCGACACACGTAACCGGTGCCGGTGGCACATGGAGATGTCTTGCCACTCCCCGGCATCTATCGTAGACGGCGAGGGGGGAGTGGGGGAAGGCCATATGCTGCCCCGTTGGCGATACCCTCCCTGCCTCCTTGTGATGCCTTTGGAACCCCTCAACAGGGCCGACAGGAACGCGAATGGCGTCCAGTCTCGATTCAATGCATAGTAGCTTCCCAAAGACATGGTCACATTCTCAATAACCACAAAGCCGGCAAGGCGAAATGGCGGCCTATGGAAAAAAAAAAAACCGAAAACAGTCCTTTCCTGTCCTGTCCTGTCCTGGCGTCCGCGTTGGAAATTGGTATCAAAGAAACCCCACAAGCCGAGACATGGAATCATAAAGAAAGGGTGGAAAAGAAGCCCGAGTAAGAGGACAAGGATGCGTGAATGAGGAGGCTAGTTCTAAGTCGGATGAAACATGCACATTAAAAGGCAAGGGCGGAGAAAAATGAGAAGAGAAAAAGAAACAGAAGGAGCAGGGTTCGGTGCTCCCCCTTCTAGACAATCCTCCTCCCGTCCACACTTTCAGCCCTACTGCACCTGACCCACAATCTCCTGCGCCCGCGAGAGCGACTCGACCATCTGTTGGCATTCTTTCCTCCTGCGGACCGTGTAGTCGCTCTCCTTAAGAAGTTCGTCCGCCTGCTCGTTCTTGTACATGTTGGAGAGCAATTCTCCGTGCATATGATCGCGGGTAAACCTGCATAGGATGGGCTTAGTCACGTACGTCCAGGGTGGCCTTTTGGGGGAGAACCAGAGGGGCGACTTACTGGACAAGGTTAAGCATAATGGCCTTGGGGACCATGTCAATCATGGTCCGCTTCACAATGTTGAAATAAGACGAAATAAGGAGTTCTGTTGGCGGTTAGACGAGACTTTCAAACGAGAACAAGGATACTCCAACTCGACGGGACATGGACATACTGATAACTTCGACCTCCATGACCTCGCGGTCAGACAGCGTGCCCGACGCCTTGAGCGACGCCGGTGGCGGCTCCATGGCGGCCGCCTTCTTCTTGTTCTTGGCGGCAAAGAAGCTGCCAAAGAAGCCGCTGTTGCCCTCCAGGTTGGCGTCGGGGACGCCCGGGCTGGCCGCCCGCGCGGGCGTGCCCGCGATGGGCTTGCCCGTCTTGGGGTCGACTTGCGTCACGGGCTTGGGGTTGAGCCGCTCCGTCACGATGGCCATGGCGCGGTGGCCGTTCAGGAAGTCGGGGTGGCCCGTGTTGATGTAGCAGACCTCCATGGCCACCAGGTCCTTGACCAGCTTGACCGTCGGCTCCATGGCCGTCTTGAAGAAGGCGACCACAACCTGGTGGAACTTCTCCTTGAGTCCCGGGTAGCGCCTGTAGAGCGCCTTGGCGAGCAGCTGCGACAGGATGCGCACCAGCTCGTCGTACACGAGGGATATGCACTTGAGGCCGGGCTCCTCCAGGCGCGTGATCTGCTTCTTCACAATCGTCTCGAAGGCCTGGGTGCCCACAAACAGGGCGGGCGACGGGCCCGACGAGTTGTAGATAAACGTCCGGATCTCCTGGTCCTTGACCACGTCAAAGGGGTCGATGGCCTTGACGCCGTTGGAGTACAGCTCGTGGAACACAAAGCTGATCCTGGCACCGCCCGACAGCTCGACGCCCGAGATCTCGTTGTTGTTGCCGTCCAGCACGCCGTGCCACTCCTTGGTGAACTCGTTGATGACGTTCAGGATGATGTTGGTACTGTCGCCCAGAATGGACGGGCCCAGGCTCTCGAGCTCGGCCGTGTATTTTTGCAACGAGCTGGAGATGCGCGCCTTGATGTCGGGCAGCGTCTGCTTGATGTGCATCATTAGGATCAGGTTGAGCTTGCGGGCCAGGTACGGCGTGCCGCAGTACGAGCTCTTGTTCCGGTACGCCTTGTGGTTGTCGAAGAAGTTCTTCTCGTTCTCGAGCGCCGCCGCGATGGGCTTCCGGTTGTCGATGTCGCGCTGGCCGCGGTTCACCACGGGCACGTACCCCAGCCGCAGCGGGATGATGCGGCCCGCCAGGATGTCCACCACGTCGGTGCCCTCGTCCATGAGGTCGACCTTGGTCAGCACGCCAATGGTCCTCTGGCCCTCGGGGTCCACCTCGCGCGCGAGCTTCAGGCCGTCCGAGTTGGCGAGATCGCTGTTGGCCGGGGTCACGGCCAGGACGATGGCGTTTGGCTTGGAGATGTACTTGTTGACCATGTCCCGGATCTGCTTCTCGATGTCCCTCGGCTGGTCGCCGACGGGCACCTTGGTGAGCCCGGGCAGATCGACGAGGGTCAGGGTCAGGACATTGGGCGAGTATATGCGCAGGTTGATGGGCGCGGGCGAGATTCCGGCGTTGCGGCCGACCTTGGCCTCCGTCTCCCGCGTGATCTCGTCCCGGATCTTGTTGAAGTCGTAGAACTTCTGGCCCGGGATGTGGAGGAACTCGCCCCATTCGTCCGGGTTGGCATGCTTATCGGCCCCCGTGGGCATCTCCTCGGCGCCATTTGCTTGGTTGGTGCCGGCTGGCCGGTTGTGTAGCTGGAGCACGAGCGGACGTCGCGTCACGATGCCGGAGCCTCGAGGCAGGCTGCGGTGGGGAAGTAGGCGGCAAGTTAGCACGTGCGCATGGTCGACAGGGTCGACAGGAACAGCGGCGGCGGCGGCGGCGGCAACTCACAAGTCCCTCCCTACAATATTCTCCAGCACCGAACTCTTTCCGCTCGACTGGCTGCCCACAACGGCGATCTGCGGCAGGTCGATGGGGTTTGTGACACCGACGGTCGCGAAGACATCCTGCAGCTTGTTGACGAGTCTGTGGGTATTCTGTTAGCTGGCAGCCCGCTCCAAGTCTTGTGGTCACCTCTGTGGGATGGGCGCTCGAGAGCTAGGGCGACGGCGGCGTACGTGATAAGGGCAGGATCCGAGATGCCTCCCGGCGTGCTGAGCGAGGGCTGTTGAGCCGTCATGGTTTCGAGTCGGGCTGTCCCTCCCTAGTGTGTTGGTGTCTGACGGCCGCGGGCGTCTGCTGTTTGGGCTTCTTGCTTGACGGGTTGGACGTCCGGTAGTTGCTGCTAGTTATGCTGTATATCTCGGTGGTGGTGGGAGGCAGGTGTTAGCTACGGTAAGGCAAGGTGGACGGACGGTGGGTGAAAGCGGCGGTGGCCGTGCGTCGTCTTTGGGCTGCAAGCCAAGGGGTCGCGACAAGGGGCGGTCGGCTCCCGGCGGTCCACTTGGGCTCTGGGCTGGGCCTGAGTCTTGGACGCTTCTCCTCGTGGAGCTCTCCCACGTCAAAAACTGACGCGGCTGCGGAAATTTGGGGGGCAGCTGTGGGATGCCTGGCGGCCGATATTCGTGCCAAATTCAATTTTTTTGCCCGGGCTTTTTTTCTGGCAGAACACACGACTGTAGCGATTCCAACGTGGCGGGACGTGATGCATCTGCCTTACGTACACACGGCGGTCCAACACCAGCTTGGTCCAAGCCGTTCAAAGACAGTTGGCATGAGCCACATTCAAGGTGTGGCGGTGGCTGCAACTAATAGTATCCACTCGCACCCCCTGAGAAGGGAGGCTGCCTAAAAGCTTGTCGCATCGTCGTCGTCCTCAGGGATATTCGTCATCTTACACGCGGCGGAACACAACAGTGAGCCATTATCCTCAAGGCAGCCGAATATTGCATACATTCCCTTCGCTTCGCCGTGATTCATCGCAGCATGCCACCAAAAGTCCAAAAACTGGTTGCTAGATAAAAGTGGGGTGGGCACCTCGGTGGTACGTATACTGATCTATAAACTGCACGATAACAGGCGCGTGGCTTTTGCCACATGATTTCCTCGGCTTTTGCAGCCGTGATACTTCTAGTCGGCGTGGTCGAGTAGTAGGAGGGAGTTGTCAAGAAACCATGCAAGACGAGCAAAACAGTCCAAAACCCCCTCCCTCCTCGCTCTCAAAGAGCCACTAACCGGCTCCTTGGACCCCGACCATCTCTCCCCTGACCAATCAGTACCTATACAAGTACACTTCAGGAACGCGCGCGGCCACAACCATAGCCTTCACAGATCCCTGTCTGTGGGAGCAATAGCTTGGGGTGTGGCGCCATGACCTTTGCTCTCGCAGGTTGCAGCACGGTTTGCTCAAAGATCTGCTGGCAAAAGAAGTGCGGATGCGTGCCGCGAAAGCATGGTGGGTGAAACACCCATTAGTTTTGCCTAGTATTACGTTCCTGTTCTTCCAGGTAATCCGATTTGCAGCTACCCACTGTCTGGAGGGTCATGCACACTCGACCAACCGCACTGGGCACACCCTAAACCGGTAGGTTCGCCCCGATATGCTGTCAAGCAGGGTCGCGGGAAGCACCATTGGATGAAGCGGCTAGCTTGGGCACGTAGCGCATACTGCACCGGTGGTCCGAGTTTGACCAGCTGTAGGAACGATTCTAATCAGCCAAGGTCTGGGTGCGCAGGTTTGCTTTGCTTTCGAGCAGGACTCACATCTTGATCTTCCCATCATCGCCGCCCGAGGCGAACATGCATGGATCTGCTGGGTTCCAACACACAGCATTGCAGCGTGGCAAGTGAGCCTCCAGCTTGGAGACTAGATGGCCCGTCGCCTTGTGCCAGATGGCCAGCTTTCCGTCTGAGAGGGAGACAAGAGGAGCAGTTAGTTGTGTTGAACGTTGCAAGGATATGGCTCGTGGATGAAAAGGGGCCGAGCCATGCAACCATGCGTACCTTCACTCCCACTAATCACGAAGCTCTCATTGGCACCGCCGAAGCCGTTCCGAATGATGTAATTGCCGCTGGTGCATCCTGTGTACCTCCGCACAGGACTGCCCCGGGATATCAGGTCGTACAGCTGCACCACACCCTCCCGGTTGGTCACGAGCAGGAGCCGCGAGTCCTGGCTGATGCTGATTGACGTCGGCTGGACCTTGAACTCCCACTCGTACTCGGCCTCCCGAGTTAGCATGTTGTATATGTAGATCTTGTGCTCTGGGGCCTTGGCCACGAGCCAGTGTCCATCCATCGACATGACCAAGTCTTCGGTCCGGTGTTTGCGCGTGTACGTGTAGACGCATTCGCCCTCGAGGTTCCATTGGCAAAGAGGCCGCTCCTTATCGAAGGACCCGATTATCATCGTTTGGCCGTCGGCGGACCAGACACAACTGCTCACTGGTTCGCTGAACTTGGGTAGCGTCTTGATAAGTAACCCGGTCTGGCAGGTTCCGTTAGTGGACTGGTTGGCCGAAACGGGGCCATTATCATTATAGACGCCGACACTCACTTGTGTGTCCCATATACGGGCAAAGTCGTCCCTTCCACATGTAACCATCATGGTATCGTCCGGGCTCCATGCGAAGTCCCCCACGCCAGTGTCGTGACCCTCCAGCTTGAGTCGCACCTCAAATGTCGAGATGTCCCAGAAAACGACGGAGCTGTCAGACCCTGAGCTCGCCAGCTGTGTCCCGTCGTGCGAGAAGCGGAGTTGCCATATTTCGCCGGGCGTCCGGTCAAGTTCCCTTACCACCTCGGTCGGGAATCGAGACTTCTCACAATAGTGGTCCGAGTACAACGTGGGCGAGGTGGCCGTCGTGTGGTACAGACAGTTCAGTATCTGACCGTCCTTTACCTGCTGCAACAAAACCGCAAGGCGGTGTTCGGGCAGCATGACGGCGGGTGAGATGCAGTCTAGGATAGCGGGTCAGCATGTACACGAGAAAATCTGGGATTTTGTGCCCCGAGACTCGGAGAACGGGGATCGTCTTACGGGAAAGCTCGGTGAGCAGAATCTCCCTCGAGTGACCACGGGCGCCATCCCACTCGGCTTTGAGCTTCAGGTCCTCGGGTGATTGGCACATGAGAAGGCTGGAGAGAAAGTGGAGCTTGGAAGTGTCCTGGTACAGCGGCGTGAGCTCATTACGCAGGACCATTAGCGCGCGTCCCGTTTCCCGCTGCTCCAGGAGCTCCAGAAACTTTTGTTGCCTCAGCCAGAACCGCATGACGTTCCTGTCCGCGCCAGGCGCCAGGACAAGGCCGTTCCCTTGGTGGGTTGGTTGGCCGTTTCCGCCGGACGATGTAGCCGTCGCGGCGCCAAACAGTAGCTCCTCGGCCTCGGACCACGACCCCCGGAGCACGGCAGAACGGAACTCAGCCACGGTTTGGCCCTCGAGACTGTAGCCGCTGTCTCGGCCCACGCTCTCGGCCGCATCGTGATAGCCCATGTCTTCAAGCGCCTGGATCAGTATGCGCGTGACCTCCTCCCGATCATGACCAAAATACGTGCCACCGCGGGGCGACCTGGCGACCTCCTTCCCGTTCTGTGACAACGCCGCCCCGCCGCCGACGACCTCCTTGCGGGCGCCATTCGAGTGCCCGTCGCCCCTGGCTAGGCTCTTTGAGCCGTTGCGGGAGGCGCCGTTCGAGTTTAAGGTTCCATCACCGTCCGCCAGCATGCTGTCGCGTCGTCTGCGCTTCCCAAAGCGCCGCTCTGATACCGATCCTATGGGGGCAGAGGGGCCCGAAGCAGCGTCCGAGTCTCGGCGGTGGTCGGAATCCTGGTCGTCGTCCTCGTAATCCGAAGACTGCCTGCGTCTTCGTCCAAGCACCTGGGATCCGGCTCGGGCAAGGGCCGACGGGTGCTGCTGCTGGGATTGTTCCGGAGGAGGATGGAGAGATTCAGTCGGCGGGTTTCGAGCTTGTGACAGGTTGACGGTGTCGGTGGGCGTGAGGGCGGGAGTCGAGAAGGAGGTCGCCGTGATGGAGGGCGTCGGGGCAGAGAAGTTTGTGCTGGAGGAAGGGTCGATGGTCTGCGGGGTGGCTGGGTGGTCGGAGGCGTCCGGGTATATGGGGTAGTCTGGACGGGGGTTTCGGTCTGCCACCTCGACTTCTTGTGTGCGGGGACGAGACGCCCGCAGAGGATCCAGGGTGGTGGCGGGAAGAGGGGGGTGGGGAGCTGCAGCGGCTGCAGCAGTAGCGACAGCAGCGACAGCAGCAACAGGCGCCGGGACCGAAGGACAGAGCGGGCACGAGCGGGAGGGAGGCTGGCTTCTTGAGACGGAGGGCGGGGGGCCAGACGGGCAGTAGCAAAGCGTGCAGCTACAGGCGTCCGTGAATAGAGATGGACTGGACGGTTGACGGGGGCCCCGGTGTCTCGAGACGGCTGGCGGTCATGGGATCACCGGGCGATGACGGCAGATGGCGGAGGGCGTGAACGCGCCTGCGAGTGTGTCGGTGGTTTCGGAACGAACAGAGGTGGACCCTTGGATGCGGTTCTCTGAGGCGGTTCGCTGGCGTGCTCTTGGTGCGTAGTGGAGCGCCGGGGGGTGACCGTTCGGCGGGGGAGCAGTGCGTGGGAGGCGCAGAGGCTGGACTGCCTGCGCCGCGCGGAACTCTGTGTTGAGGTGAGGAGGCCTTTGTCGATAGGACGTCAGAATGCTGAGTGAGGTTGGGTTCGGGCTGAGCGCACTGCGAGGACGGGAGTTGTGGAGCTCTAGCTTCAGCCATATCCCAGGCTGCTCCACCGCGGAGGCACGGAAAACGAGGTACGTACCTTGGATGAGTCTGCACAATACGCACAGGGCTGCACGTTGAGCACAGGCCTTGCATTCCCACCTAGACTCGATTCTCGGCGCTGAGGGAGACGTGGTGAGATCACAGGTCACGTTGGGCCGGGAAGCCAGGGCCAAGAACTGACAGGCGCTCGTCACCACTCAGCGGCCACGTCAGGGCGACGGCCACGCGCGGTGAAGGGGCAAGTGATGATTGATCCACACGGGCCCAACTGGAGTGCTGAGTGACAGAACTCATGCAAGCCAACGCCGATTGGAGGGATAAGGACAGCCTGGGGCTGCCGCCACTCAACGGCTTTCGATGGGTCGCTTTGGCACCATTCATTGCTACATTGCATGCACGCACAGTGGGCGGAGTCTTTCCTTTGAATCGCATCACTTCTGTTTGTCCCATTCACAAACCACGAACTGCTCCAGCCACATGGAAGTTGAACCCCTCTAGTCGCTTAACCCAATACAGGTCATGTTGTGCAGTGCCTAAGGGCCTAGCCAAGCCGCTGTCCGCTCCACGCCGCCCAAGAGAAACGTGAATGATGCACGTGGCAAAGTCCCAGGTCAGCCCCATCACGTCCCGCCAGAGGGATTCGCGAAAATAAAAACCCATTATGCATGGCACCTGAGCGGGCAGGCGGCACCCAAGCGAAGCTTCCCGTTTCCAGAGTCTATTATTGTGTTGTTCCGTGGATTGTTTGGTGCGGCCCGTATTCCAGGCGCGCTGGCGGGCGGGCCAGACAGGTTCGTTTCACAAGCCTTTGGACGGTGAAACCTCGCGGGGGTGGGTTGTTGACCTCATGCAGCTACCCTTCCCAGGCGGCCGGCGTGCTGGGATCCATTCAAAGGCTCTGGGCCACGCCTTTATTAAACCTTGGGCGGCGGGAAAGGTGGCCGTGGTGCTACATCCCCACGAGGGACGGGCTCCTTGGCTGGGGCACCTAATAAACCATCGGCTCGGCCACCTGAGACCAGGAGTGTACAGACAGGCCTCTCAGAGCTCCGCCTGGCGCGGCTCAAACTCGCCAGGAACCAGACTCTCTGCCGCCCGCAGCGGCCTTGACCCGTAGCACACACATCATAGAGCACATATTAATTGCCAGAAGCTTTAAGCTTGGTGGCAGGCCGCGGCTGTCTGGCCGTTGTTGGCGCAGTTCCCTTCTGTCGACAAATTCGATTTGCAGACTCACACCGCCCAGCCCTGTTTCCAGCCTTTGGTTCCTGTTCCGACGGGGGCCCAGACACCCAGATTTGAGTTAGTGCCTCGTCCAGCTGGCACTGGATGGAGTCTTGGTGGTGGCTCTTGAGACTGCAAGACTGCCTGCCGGCCCGGCCACCTGCCTGCCTGGACCCTCCCATTGCCTTTCGCAGCGGACATCGGCCTGACGGGTCGGAGAGCGAAGGTGAGAAAAGTGAGGCGGCGCCTGGCAAGCAAGCCCAACAAAGCAACACAGCAACAACACTGAGGAACCAAAAATGGGGGAGGAATTCCCGTTCCAGGCCGCTCCCGGACGCTGCCCGACGCCCTATGGCCCTCGAGTTCAGGCAAATAGAGAAAAGTGCAGCCAGCTGGCCACCGAGTTCTTCAAAAACGGCGTCGCAAGAGCCCGAGAACGCCACCTACGGTTTGTTGGCCAAGCCCTACGCCGCTCCACCGCCTCCCCCGATCCCGACGCTACAGTCCCGATCCCTTTTTCCCTGCTTTTCCCTGCCCTCGAAAATCGAATAATCCATCCCACCACCCCCACCACCCACAGCGGCAAGCGTGCACATGACTGCCGCCCAGTGCAGCGCGTCTTGATATTGGCCTAGTCTGACCATCACCTGCTGTAGACAAGAGCGGCTGAACCAGCAACTGGCCAATGCCGAGGCGTCGCCTCAGAAGCAAAGTCAACTTTGGGTAAGGCCAGGAATCCAAGACTCTTGGACTAGGTAGTCACAACAACAACGGCGTGACAGTCACACACGCCCATGAGATTGTTAGGGCTGACCTTTTTTTCTGTAAAAAAAAAAAAGTCCAACACGGGAAAGCTCGAGGCACAATACCTGCGCTTCCTGCGGACACCCAACACCACCAATGACTATGAGACCATCAAGCTCATCGGCAAGGGGGCGTTTGGGGAGGTGAAGCTGGTGCGGCGCAGGCAGACGGGCAAAGTATACGCGCTCAAGTCCCTCCTCAAGAGCCAGACGGTGACGCAGCTGCAGGAGGCGCGGGTGCGGGCCGAGCGGGACATACTGGTCGAGTCCAACAGCCCGTGGGTGGTGAAGCTGTACATGACGTTCCAGGATGCGTCCTTCCTGTACATGCTCATGGAGTTCCTCCCCGGCGGCGACCTCATGACCATGCTGATCAAGTACGAGGTCTTCACCGAGGACATCACGCGCTTCTACGTGGCCGAGATGGTCATGGCCATAGAGGCCGTGCACGACCTCGGCTTCATCCACCGCGACATCAAGCCCGACAACATCCTGCTGGACCGCGGCGGCCACGTCAAGCTGACCGACTTTGGCCTGTCGACGGGCTTCCGCAAGACCCACGACAGCAGCTACTACCGCCAGCTGCTAAAGTCGGCCGCGGCCGGCATGGCGGCCGACGAATGGGGCGGCGGCGGCAGCGGCGGCGGCGAACCGGACCCGGACCCCCGGCGGCGCGAGTCGGTCAACCTGGACCAGATCAACATGACGGTTAGCAACCGCGGGCAGATCAACGAGTGGCGGCGCTCCCGCCGCGCCATGGCCTACTCGGCCGTCGGCACGCCCGACTACATCGCGCCCGAGCTCATCCGGGGCGCCGGCTACACGCGCTCCATCGACTGGTGGTCCCTGGGCGCCATCACGTACGAGAGCCTGATAGGCTGGGCGCCCTTCGCCTCCGAGGTGGCGCGCGACACCTACGTCAAAATCTCAAACTGGCCGCAGCACCTGTACTTCCCCGACGACGTGCAGATGAGCCGGAGCGCCGAGAACCTGATACGGAGGTGTGTTTTTTTTTTTTTTTCCTTGTCTCCCCCTTTTGGACGATATCTAGACAAAAGTGCCTCGGCCGGGGGCAAGGCTAACAACCACACACACACACACACACACACACACACACAGCCTCATGTGCGAACCAGAAAACCGGCTCGGGCGGGAGGGCGCGGCCGAGATCAAGAAGCATTCCTTCTTCAACGGCGTCGACTTTGAGGGCCTCCGCCGCATAGCCGCCCCGTTCAAGCCCCACCTGACCTCAGAGACTGACACGGCGCACTTCCCGTCCGAGGAGGAGCTGGAGCGCAACGCCCTCCAGATGACGGGCGCCGGCCCCCAGTCCACGGCCGCCGCCGCTGCTGCTGCTGCTGCTGTGGCGGCGGCGGTGGCGGCGAGCGACGGCGGCCCGACCAGCCCCATCGCCGACGCGCCCGAGATGACGCTGCCTTTTCTCGGCTACACGTTCAAGCGGTTCGAGGACAACCTGGCGGGCATGCACTGAGGGAGTGCATACAATTCTCTACTTGGGTCTTTTGTTTTCAGTCCATTTTCAATATGGGAAACGTCTGTACCAAGCGGGAATGTTCTCTTTTCTGAAACAGATGGGGTCGTCCCCCGAGGTCCGTGACATACGATACCAGAGGTTGAGAATCTATATGTATTTGGGAGACGGTTCCGATGCCATTCCGCTCACTCCTGTGCTTTAGAAGGCCTTTTTAGTGCTCTCTTGCGGGGGAGGGGGATTCGCATTAGCGCCGGCACGTCCAGGTCCTGTCTAAGCGGCTGGTTGATCTCATCATATGGAGGTTCAATTGCTTCAACACGCGGTTGAGATTCATTGACTTGGGAAAGGGTTGGGTTTTGCGGATATTTTGCACACCACGCGCAGCATAGCCAGAGCATTCATGTCCTTTGATTCACTCGTCTGAGCATTGGCAAACACCAACGATATGATGTGAGCCGGGCCATACAGCCCGCCCTGCCAAAGTGCCGGGTAAGAAGAGTATGGGGGCCTGAAGAATCCCCTCCCTGGTTCGAGGACCACCAGGAATTAGGTCGGTACGCACCTACCCTGGCAAAGGAGAAGAAACAAGCAGAAGCCAGATTCTTATCGAAAGACTTCTGTCATGTTGGTACCTTCTCCAGTCACTTTATACACAGCATGCTTTTCGAATAATCTTCAACCATATCGTGAGCACTCGGTCAACATGCCGCCTGTTATAAATCTCCCATCAGTCCAGATATATAAACAGCACAGTTTCCTCGGGGGCTGAACAGTTCCTGTCATGTTGTATGAAACCAGACTACGTTGATCATAAAATGTTGGTCTTGGCTCAAAACTGCGCTAGTGACAAGGCCAGGTGCATCCACCAGCCGAGAAACAAATCACATCATGACACGGCAATTAGCAGTCATGTTACGACTCTAATGCGGCTGCCGCGCCTGTTTCACGTAGCACGGGGTCAAGGGTGACATCATAAGGGCGAGGACCAAGGAGGGGGGCGATAAACTAGCCATGCACCACGAGGAAGGGTTATTCCGGCCCCGGAGTGCCCTAACCCCAACAAGATTCAATTAATGATCCAAGGAACTAGTATTGCAAAAAGATTGCTGATAAGATGAAATTCGTTACATGGCGACAGCTCCCTTCACCCGGATCCTACCGCCGCAACAGCGCCGCCCTCACACCGTCATCAACGTCGCTCCGCCGCCTGACCTTTGACGGCCCGGGCGCCATGTCCACCCACTCGCCGCGCGAGTTCCACACGCCCGCCTTGGTGTAGTCGAGCGTTGTGGTGCCGCTCACGAAGCCGAAGCGGAAGTACTCGTTGATCTGCGCGCCGGCGCGCCGGCGCCACCGGAATCCCCTAGGCCCGTCGCCCACCGGCCTGTTGGGGTCTGACGGGTCGTCGGCGAAGAAGGCGCGGAAGCGCTCCACGTCGTTGACCAGCACGCTGACACCGTCGATGTCCGGGTCGTCGTCGACGCCAGGGAGCTGCCACGACACCGACAGCGTGCTCACGTTCCCGACCGCGGCCGCATCGCTCAGCGTGATGTTGGGCGGCCCCGTCAGCGCCGGCAGGGACGAGAAGAACTGGCCGTCGCCCTGCAGCTGCGCAGCCGTCTGCAGGACCGAGTCGAACCCCCAGCGCGCCACGCCGTTGATGAACAGGCCGACTAGAAGACCCTGGTAGAACAGCGACGGCCGCGTCTGCATGCTCGTCCCTGGCAGAAGCAACAGGGCCAGGATGTAGTGGTGGATGCGGAGGCGCAGGTCCGGCATGACGAGGCAGACCAGGATGGCGCCGACGAAGGCGGCGTAGACCTTGAGGTAGCGCAGCAGCCGGCCCTCCTGGCGGAAGAACCAGACCTGCAAGGCCGCGACGACGACGAGGACGATGATGATTATGGCGAGGGCGGCCTTGGCGCCGGGCTGCTGCGATATGTCGCGGCCTGTCAGACGCGTGATGGGGATCCACTCGCTGAAGGTGTAGTTCTCGAGCGCGCCCAGCCAACACGCGCCCAGCCACAGCACCGTCTTCTCGACCTGGGCCGTCAGGCCCTGCAGCGTGCGCCGGACGCCCATCTTGTCGTACATAACCCAGGCGATCAGCATGGCGGGCAAATACTTGCCGATAATGTTGGAGGCCAGGCCGGCCAGGGACGAGATGTTCGGCGGATCTGAGACCATGCCGACGTGCCAGAAGATGGCCGAGAAGACGACGAAAAAGAAGAGCGGGGCCGAGCTGACGAAGAGGGAGAAGACAGCCGAGAAGGCGACCGAGAGCCCCAGCAGCGGCCAGCGCAAGTCGCGGGTCTCGCACTGAGCGTTTCCCTGGAAGGTGAAGGACAGCGGAAAGCTGGCGTTGAAGGCGATGCTGGTGATGTCGTTGCGGGTGGACGACACATAGTTTGTCTGCTCGCCCGCCAGGGTAACGACACCGCAGCCGCCGGCCGTGTTGGAGATGATGCCAGCGTGAAGGGCGGCGCCGCAGATGTACGAGTCGCCGCGGTACAGCACCTGGCCGTCATCGCGGGGCCCACCAATGACCATGGACTGGTAGATGACCTCCTGGTCGCCGACGGCGCGCGGGTTCAGCACGCGGTAGCTGGCACAGTTGGCGGGGCAGCGGAAGGCGAAGCCGGTGTTGTTAAAGGGCCGGCAGTAGACTCCGTCAATGCCGCAGCTGCCGTCAGACGGCCACCACGAGGTGCCGCAGCCGATGGTGGCGGGGGCGCCATAGCCCTGAACATTGGTCGCCCGCCGGCTGTCCTGGAGCACCAGCGCAAAGGCCGTGATCCACAGCGCGATGTACACGGCGGCCAGGCAGACGCGCTGCCACAGGTGCGGCACCAGTTTGTCCAGCAGCCGGATGGGCGCACGTTGCACCTTGGGGAGAATGGGGTTGATCTTGTATATGCGCGGCTCGGGCGGGCCTCTCATCCAGTTCGCCGTGGCGTTTCCGCACCGACGGACGGGCAGCGGGATCCACGCCCACCTCTTGCTGCCACTCCCAGTGTCAACGCCTCCTCCGCCGCCTCTTCTGACAGATGGTGGCCCTGGCACCGGGCTCGGCAGCCGCCGCGCGCTATCCCGATCGTCTAGCAGCTCGTCTTCGGTACCACTCGCCATGTCGCGTCTGGTGGGCGCCATGCCACAGTCGTTGGTGGAGAGAGAGACAGCTGAGGATTTGGAGGCTGTGGCGTGGGGATTGTTGGGCGTCGACGTGGGATCTTTTGATGACATTATGGCTAGCGGGCACTACGCAGTGCCGACTGGCGGCAGCGAGATGGACGAGTGGTGGTGATGTGCGGGAGGAAACGATAACGCGAGGCTATATCAGGGAACTAATGGCGGGGAACGGTGGCATAGGGCTGGTCAAACAATTGACAGCAGCTAGGATTCAAGCGCTCGGGGGAGAAACTTGGTCTAGGAAGCTCCCTGCCGGAAACCCCCATCGCAGTCCCACGGAAGGTGGGCGTCAATGGGCAACGCGGGAGGACCTCCAGGCTGACGTTTATGGGGCTTGGCAGACAAAGCAGCAGATTGGGACGGCTGTGAAAGACAACGAACAAAAAACTGGAGGTCTGGGCTGCCACGCAACACTGCCCGACCGGGCGGCTTCTCGATCCTCCACACCATTGAGGCTGGGGCCTGAGACGTGAGCAGGGACCTTGCCGAGATGTCTGATCCTGTGTAGCATTGGGGTCCAAGTGCCCTGAGCTCAGGTACCTGTCATGTTGCCTGCCCGGCTGATTGGCCTACAGCACAGCGCAACCCCACTGGGATCGAAAGCTGGGGAGCAGGGATGGCCACTTGATGGCTGCGGCTGGTGGGGTGGTGTTGGCTCAGGGCCCAAGTTCGTGCTAGCAAACTCAGATGAGTTTATCATGGGAGTCAGTCCCTGGAACCGTCAGGAACAAGAAAAAAAAGCCCCATTATACCCACGCGTCCAATCGTTTTTCGGTGTTTTATTGCTCAGAAACGACAGCCCTGGCCGTCTCAGTGAAGGGAATGCCTGGTCAGCCTGAGGTTCGCCGCTAAATTCGAGTCATGGGCTTAAAGCAACCACTTCGGATTCGTCTGTCGACGCCACCACCCATGCCCAAACCTAAGCCTAGGCCTCGATAACCGACGCGCCAGCCACGGCAGCACACGCAGGAGCCGCCAAGGATGGAGTTCGAGATACTGAGGTCCGCGCTCGTCGAGGCCGGCGCCGCACGGCTGGGCCGCCTGGCCTTCCCCGGGCGCAGGCGCATCGACACGCCCAACTTCTTCGCCGCCACCTCGCGCGGCGTTGTCCCACACCTGACGCCCGACAACCTAGCCCGCCACGACGACCTGGTCGGGGGCGCGTACCTGGCCTTTGAGGACTTCATAGAGCGGAGCCAGAGGAATCCCGGCCGCGTGCCCCCGCTGCTGCAGGCTGCCGCCAGGTTCCCGCCGCGGCCCCTGCACGCCTTCTGCGCCCTGCCGGCCGCCGTCCCCGTCGTGCTGGGCCCCAGGCGCGTGCCCGCCGCCGCCAACCAGCTCGGCAACGGGCCCGACTCGGTCTCGGTCTTCACCTCGACCGGCGTCCAGACCCTGACCACGGCCGCCTACGCCGACGCCGTCGTCGCCCTGCGGCCCGACGTCGTCGTGCCCATGGCCGACCTGGCCTGGTTGCCCGTCGCCCCCGGCGGCAAGCGTGCCGCCCGCATGGCCGACCGCACTGACGACTGGATGGTGGGGCTGCGCCGGCGGCTGCTAGAGCAGCACCAGCGGGACGGCCTGCTCTCGTCGACGGCCGTCTTCGCCCCGACCCTGCCCGTCCCGCACGCCGTGCAGTGGGACTACCTGCGCTCCCTGTCCGAGGACATGCTCGACTTTGTACACGGCCTGGCCGTCTACGACGTCGACATAATCCCAGACCTCCCGGCCTACCCGGGGCTCGCCGCCCTCCCGCGCCTGTCCCTCGACGTGCCCGCCACGCCGCACCACATCCTGCGCCAGGTCTCGCTCGGCGTTGACGTGGTGCTACTGCCCACCATCAACACGGCCTCCGAGGCCGGCGTCGCCTATACCTTTGTCTTCCCCGCACCACCACCATCCCCCACGCCAGCAGAACAAATCCTCCCGCTGGCGGTAGACCTCACCCTCCCGGAGCACACGACCTCCCTGGCGCCCCTCTCGCCGGGCTGCGCCTGCCCGGCCTGCGCGACCCACCACGCCGCCTACCTGCACCACCTCCTCGCCGCGCGCGAGATGCTGGCCTGGACGCTCCTGCAGCTGCACAACCACCACGTCTGCGCGGCCTTCTTCGCCGGCGTCCGCGCCTCGCTGGCCGCCGGCACCTTTGAGCGCGACGCGGCCGACTTCGCCGCTAGGTACGAGCCCGACGTGCCCGAGGGCAGGGGCGAGAGGCCTCGCGTCAGGGGCTACGCCGCCGGGAGAACCCAACAACAGCCCGACGAGCCCGCCCCGCAGAAGCTGAACCGCCCTGCCTGGGGCAAGCTCGGCGCCGTGGCGGCCGATGCGGCGGCGGCGGCGGCGGTGGCGGGTCAGGAGTCGCAGGCTGATGGGGCGGTGGCGGCGACTGCGTGAGCATACGGTACTGCCTGTGTACGTCTGTCATGATCATGGCGTTTGTCGAGGGCGGGGTGGCGCACGGGTTTCGAGGGTACAGCACTAAAAGGAGACGGTAAATATCTCCCATGTTGAAGATAGAGCTACACTGTGGGCGAAAGAAGAAGAAAAAAAAGAAGAAAAGAAAAAATAGACGAAGAAAAAGTAGAAGAAAGAAAGAGAAGAAGAAAAAGGTGAACGCAGAAAAAAAGAAGAAAAAAAAGAGTATAAAATAAGTACGAGGACCAGTTTAGACTATTGGGCTACGTTGAGCTTCGGGGTCCTCGTTTTGAGGATGAGACTTGAGGTCCACGGATTACCGTGATGGCACTCATGCATTGTCGCCTCGTAGACTTTCCCGCCGGCCTCCTTTCTTGACGTAGGCACTTCACATTTGCGACCCCACACGGGCTTCTCTACTCAGTTGGCAGTTACGAACAGCATATGATTACGTGAATAGGTGCGAGCCAAAGCCGGCCAAGCGTCTCAATGAAACGATATAAAACAATAAAGATACATGTTGCTTGCCCAGGTGTGTCGCATTACATTCGCATCCTCCATTCACTCCATCATCTCCAGGAACCTCGAGTCCCTGACCGGACTCCCCGCCTTTGTGGTCCTCGCCGGATCCCGTAGCACAGGCGGCAGTGGTAGGGCCCCACCGATGGTGCCGAAGTGATCCCTCGCCAACACAAAGTTCTCCCCTCCGCTGCCGCTGCTCAGGCTGCTCCGGTTGTTGCTGCTGGCCAGGCTGCTGGCGCTGCCGCGCGCCGCCCCCGACACCGGGGCGGCCGCCGTCGGCGAGACTGCCGTGTTGGACGTCGTCGTCGTCGTCGTCCTCGACATGGGCGCGCCCGCGTCTCGCTCTCCGCGCCCGGCTAGCGCCAGCTCCCTCATGCTCTCGGTCCCCGGCTGGTCGCCGGCGTCGAGGCTGAACAGCAAGCTGTCCGAGTCGGCCCGCTGGTGCTGCGCCGCCGTCGATGCGGACCCGGCGGCCACCCCGGAGAGCGCCACGCCGCCGATGAAGCTGCTCTTCTTTCCGTTCCCAGCCTCAAACGAGCCCGCCTCGGCCGAGGATCTGGACCGTCCTCGAAAGCGAGACTTGAGCCAATTCCTCATCTTGGAGGTTGGTGACGCGGCCGAGTCTTCTGGCACTGTTGTTGTTGGTGAGGCCGCCGGGGCAGATTTGGAAGATGTGGCAGACGTTGGCTGGCTCTCTGCTTCCTTTTCTCTCTCCTTGTCCTTTGAGCCTAGGTTCAACTTTCCAGGCAGACGCAGGCTGAGGCTTTGAAGGGCTCTCGATGGCTTCTTCCTTAGCTCGTAGGAGCGTTTTTGGGCAAGGGGCGCCGAGGTGCTTGGTGCTCGTGATGGTGACTCGGGTTCTTGCGCCTGGTCTGGTTGCTTCTCCATGCCCGCCATGATCTCCTTGGGAGCCCGGCCGCCCTCCTTAGCCAGTCGCTTCTGCTCAAGCTTGGCCTCTTTTTCTAGCTGCTTCCTAGCTTTCTCTTCCTGCCTGATCTCATCTCTCCGAGCTTTGTCTTGCTCCTTTTGTTGGCCTGCGAAGAATTGCAATCGTAAGCAAGGGCGCAAGCAGGGTGCATTTGAATCATAATCTGGAAATGACGTACCTTTCAGCTTCTCCAGATTCTCCTTGATCTCCCTCTCCTGGGCCCTCTTCCCCTCAGCCTCGGCCCGTTTCCTCTCCTCCTCCGCTCGGAGCGCCGCGAGCCTCTCCCTCTCCTTCTCAGCCTTGTCATTGATCTCGTCTAGGAAGGGCTGAACCCTTCGGGCGGCAATCTCGTCGATCTCGGTCTGATCCATAAACTTGCCGCCCCCGATATCGATCTTTCCGGCATTATTGCCGCTCCGGGTATCGGCCGAGCTCAACTCAATCCTAGGCGTAGTGGTAGGGCCGGCGACGGTCGTCGAGGCCGGGGACGTGGCACAGGCAGAACCACCACCCGTCCGGGCTAGAGCGGCGGCATGGGCCTTGGTCTCCCACTCACTAAGCAGCGAAGGGGGGACCTTGCCCGAGTCAGCCAGCAGCTTACGGTCGAGGCCTTCAAGCTGCGCCTTGACGTTGCGCCGCGCCGCGGCAAGCAGCGCCTCGCGGTCCCTCTGGCGCTTCTCATCAAAGCCGGGGCCGGGGCTGTCTCCAGCAGCAGGGCCACTCGACCCGTCGGCGAGCATGGACCTCGATTTCCTGCGACGCTGCTCGTCTCTTGGTTCGACAGCAGAACCCCCAAAGCCGCCTAAACCAGCTACCGTAGTCACGGCCCCGTCGCTCGACGACCTACGCCGAAGCTTACCACGGATCGTGAATCTCCGGTAGCCGGAAGATGAAGGCGACGCTCCGCTGCCATAGTACTCCTTGTAGCTGCGAGACCGGTTGTGCTCATCTTGCAACTTGGATAGTCGCTCCTGGGCGAGCTTGTACGCAACATCCTGCAGGTTTGTAAACTGCATGGGAGCCTGCTGGGATGATCCAGGACTGCGCGTGGAGTCGGCCTGCTCCGCCCCCCGTGCCGCGGCCGCGTCCGCCATCTTTTGCTTCTCCTGCTGTTGGCTGTACATCCTCTTGGCCATGGCTACGGCCGAGGCATGCAGCACATCTTGGCGCTTCTGGCCCTCCACCTCGAGCTGCACCGGCGGCTGCGATGTAAACATCTGTCGGTCCATGGTGGTGTAGGGTCCGGTGCCACCCACCACGCCGCCACCCACAGACGCGACCCGTCCGTGATGGGCCGCGGTCGCTGCGGTAAGGGCGTTTGGCGTGGCCGAGTCGCTGGCACCGATTACAGGGCTGTTGCTGATTCCCAGGCCGCTCTTGGGCGCTTGTTGTGTCGGGCTCGATACGGCACGAGGCCTCCCCATACTAGCACCCGCGGCCGATGCGGCCATGGCATCCTTGGCAGCACGCAGTGAGCCACTGCTGCTCGCCGTCATCAAGGAGGGCTCTGATGGTGCAGCCCGATGCCTCACCGAGTTGGCCCGGAAGGCTTGGTTTGCGGCGGAACTGCCCCAGGTCGAGGGTGAGGCTGGGCTCAACGTGAGAGCGGGGGACGCCATCGTGACAGGGCTGGCTAAGCTGCCGCTATCTTGGCGACTCCTGGCTAGTCCGCCGGCGGCCGCAATGACGGCGGCCCTCGAGACAATATCGCTCCTATCTTCGGCCCGGGTGTTCCGGCGGTCGTTGTTCGCGAGGAGGGCGGCGGCGGAGGCCGGCGAGGCTAGGCTGCTGCTACTTTTTGGTCTGTGGGCGAGGGCGGGGTTGGCTGTGCTGCTGGGGGGCTGCTGCGAACCCCACGAGGGCTCTGCGGGGGACAAGGCTGGGGATGCGGGCTTCTGGGTGGCCCAGCCCAGGCTGGCCGCGGCGCTGGCGGCGGTGTTGTTCTGGCGGAGTCCGAGCGAGGGGAAGGAGGGCAGGTCGCGAGGCTCGGCGTACTTGAGGCGTCCCGACGACGTCCTGCTACCTGCAAGGGGGTCAGCACACGGCCTCAGTGGTATCGTGGGGACCTGCTAGATGGCAGTCGTGTAGGCGGCTGTGCCATACGACCAAGCGAGCGAGCGACGATGGGCAAAAGAGGAGTCGCGGGCTGCGAGGAGAGCTGGCCCGGGTCGTCGAGCCGACATACCTCCTTGTGTTGGTGGGGCTTGCACTGCGATGTGCGTGGACTGCATCATGATTCGACGATGGGCCCGGGCGGGCCGCGGGTATCCTAGTATCCTAGTATCCTAGTCGGATGGGGTGCACTGTCCGTGTTGTGGCAGATAAAGGGGAAGGGAAAAGGCAAAATATCGGATCGGACAGGAGTGCTGGGGTGTGTGCAAGTCGGCGGCTGGAGCGGGCAGGGAGCTTGATAGGAAATGCGCAGGTAGGAGAGGTGGATTTGAAGTCTGGAGTCTGGAGTCTGGGATCTAGGGCGCCGTCGAAGGCATCGCCAGGGTTCGCGTACAACAGACACGGCCGACGCAATTCCAAGGGCTGCGGTTGGGACGGCGACGACGGGATAAAGATGAGAGGACTGTCTGTCGTCTGGCCTTGATGACCGGATTCGTACCCTCTCGGCGCACGGCAATGACGAACGCGACAGCCAGGAGATGGGCGCGTGGTAGGGATGTGACTATGAATAGGGGTGTGGGGAGCGCTACTCAGGCGGCAGTAGGAAGGGTCTAGGGCGTGCATCTGAGGGGGGAGAGGCTGCAGGCTTGGGCGGGCAACGAGGTGTGGTTGCCGTTGTGCTCGTGAAGACCAAGGTCGAGGCGATGGAGAGACAAAGGCGGAGACGTGACGTATTGCTGCCGTCGCGGGGACTTGTACTTGTGTAAGTCGACTTCCATTGCAATCATTACACGACGCCCTCCCTTTCTGCTGTTCTGTCCTGTCCCGCCCCGTCCCTCTGCCCTCTCTTCCTTAGCCCGTCTGCGAACGGACTTGGCGCTCGCTGCTGACCGCGACAAAGGGACAGGTCGGTTTTGCTCTTCAGCAGGCGGCAGGGGGAGGAAGGCCCGTCGCAAGCAACCGTGGCCCAGGCCCAACCACCTACGTCATCACGAGACCATGCTGTTGGTTGGAGTGAGAGAGGTGGAGCCCTCGACGGCGGGCAGGGCTCCACTCTTTGTGTTCCCGTGCCCGACATCCCCTACAGAGTGGGGTTCGCTAGAGGAAGGACGTGGATGCGAACGAAGGCTAAGGTGGAGCTAGAGCTGGAGGGGCAGCAACCTCGAATGCCCCTTTGCGGGTTGTGCAAAAATCTCCGTAAGCCGGCATTCAATAGTGCTTATTTTGGGCATGATTTTGAAGAGTATAGAAGTGCTAGTGTATAACTCTGGGCGGTAGAGATGACTCGTGAACCAAGCAGGCATGCAGCAGATCTCCCGTCAAAAAGTGCGGTGGCCGCGCACGGATTTCTAAAGCGATGGCTGCCATTAGCGCCCTGTCGGCTTATCCACATCTGTCAAGATTCAAACACACCAGTCGCCCTTTACCGGGCACTGAAATCTCGTGTTTGACATTGTGCATATTGGACTGTGTCTTATTGGAGACAGCAGACAGTTTCAGCCTCCAAAACCCCGGTATCAACGACAGGCTAGCTGCTCACCTGCATTACATATACGCAGCACAATCTGCTGGAGGGCGCGAGGGCAGATAGACACCTAGATAGATATCGGTTGTCCAGATCTTACAGGGACAGGGAGGGAGGTCCAGGCAGACGCTGATAGCCATGGGGACCCAGGCCTAACCGGAACCGCCTGGGAGGATCCCCTTTTGGGGGAAGGCCGCAGCTACTGACTTTGCCCAAAAATAGCAAAGTGCTTCGTCCGAATACGAGCATTTTGCCACTTTCTTTTTGTGCGTCATAGTGACAGCTCCGGTTATGCCGCACATGGCGGATTATGCATAACTCCTCGACCGAATGCCGTCGACGTGTGGGACGCCCGAGCCAGGGGCCGCCCGTCCGTACCTGTTGATAAGTGGTGCTGGAGGAAACATGAGGCCGCCACCCACCAGTTCCCCAACCACCAAAACAATCTCTGCCACCCACCCACATTCCGAACCGAACCCGATCGCCCGGACGCCATCCGGATTTTCTCTGTGCCCTGCAGCTTCCCAGCCTGAGCCCCAGACCAGACTGCAACCCAAACGATCCGAATTTTCCAAGGTTTTTGCTCCATCTCGACATTTTCACTTCCCTGCTTTCGAGGTCGTCAAAAGGAGACGCTGGCGTCGCAACCCACATACCCGCCGTGCCACCCCCCCTTTGAAGCGTCGCATCCTCCCGCTGTCGACCGTCGACACATCCACCCCGGAAGCAACGGGCGCTTCGGGTGTCGGCCTGGTCAGGGCACGAGCCCGGTTGACCTGGAACTTACACAACACTCCACAGATCAAAAGTAGCGAAATCATCTGCCGACGATGGATGTCTCTCCGGCCTTCGATAACATCATCAACTTTCGGGATGTCGGCAAGACGATCAACGATTTCCTGGGCCAAAAGTATGCAATGACCCAGTCTGAAGTGTAACCCCATGATATGTGACATGAGGTAGACACAGAGGGAGAGTGACAAGAAAGCGGGGGAAGACTGTTGTTGACCAATGTGATATCTTGTTTTGTTTATCCAGGCTTGTCCGAGAAGGCCTCCTGTTCAGGTCCGCCCGCCCAGGTAAGCATAACCAAGGTTTTTCATCGGGGCCAGTCTAGATCTCGCGGCTGTGGACCTACTGTGCATGCTGCACATGGCTAGCCAAAGTTCCATGGCCGAGAAAAAGGGCCGATTTTGTAAAATTAACCCGAGAAAGACGACGCGTCGCTGCGCGACAGGGTGTTGCTGCGTGAGGACCTGGGAATCGAGACCGTGATGGACCTGAGAACAAAGTATGAAGTCTACTGTCCTCACCTGAGCCTACGCTGCTGAGGTGCTCATTCCATGGCCAAAAAAACCGCAGGACCGAGCACCTCAACCAGGCCAAGAAGCGTGATGCGGACCTCAAGATCCCCGCCCTCGTCCGGTCTAACGGCGCCCTGGCCGAGCCCGTCAAGATCCCGGGCCTGTTGTATCTGGAGATCAGGATCACGGGCAAGGGGTTTGAGAGGCACCTCCTGAGCCAGCTGTCGTGGATCAGCTTTTTGTAAGCCGCCGCGGCTTTTTTTTTTTTCGTTTCCGGCATGGACGCATCACTACGTTTATTGACATCCTCGGGGGGCTCAGCAAGCTCATCTTCCTCTTCATATTTGGCTTCCGCATGAGGGCCATCGCCGTCCTCGGCCGCGAGGTCATGCTCCCACGGGGCCTGACGGGCATCGCCATCGACACGCTGGACCATTCCAAGCTCGAGGTCGCAGAGGTGAGAGTTCTCCACACACTTTCTTTTTGTTCCCTCATCACGCTCGGCTGACGTACCGTCAACCTCTCTCCCCCCACGCCAAGGCCCTCCACTCCTTGCTCAGACCGGCTGCTCTCCCGATCATGATCCACTGCACCCAGGGCAAGGATCGGACCGGCCTTGTCGTGGCCTTGGTTCTCATGATCCTCGGTGTGCCCCTTACGGCAGTGGATCACGACTATGCGCTCTCCGACGACGGCTTGGTCTCGGAGCGCGAGGCCCGCCTGGTCGAGATCCACGAGATTGGCCTGAGCGACGCCTTTGCTTTCATCGATCCGGCTATGAACCGGGCCATCGAGAACCATTTGTCTGCGGCCTATGGCGGACTCGACGGCTACCTCGATAACATCGGCTTCCAAAGAGATCATCGCAGCAACTTGCGTGAGCTTCTGTTGTACTGAATTTCGGTTGCGGTAGCGACCATGGCAAGAGAGCAAATCAGGGCGGGAATCAGATCTTGTGGGTATCATTGGAGATATCTAGAGCATAATCAAACGCTCTATATGTCTAGGGAGAACATGTTGATAGATCATGCCACTCAAACCAACATTGGTTGAGCTCAGCAATTGGCCATATCAAATCTTCCTGAACCGCCCCTGCAACCAGCACCGGTACATCTTGAGCTTCCGGGCCCTATTGACAAGGAGCCTTCGATCAGCCTCGAGAGCTTCAATTTCGAAGAAGGATCGGGCATCTTGGCTCTGATCATTGGGAGGGGCTGCCCCCTTGCCCTGGTCGGCCTCGCCCTCAACAGGAGTGGTGGGCGCGGGTTTCCCACCCCTCTTCCAGATACTGGTCAGCTCGTCCATCTCGAAAAAGTAGACGCGCGTGCCGTCGCCGCGAATGTAGAAGTTCTCCTCCAGGTACCGACCCTTGCGGAACCTGACCTGGGCGAGGTCTCCCCTGCCGTAGTCACGGAAGCACACCTCGCCGCCGGGCTTGAGCACCCTGTACACGTTCTCGACCGCCCTCGCCCACTGGGTTGGAGACAAGGCCGAGAATATGAAGACCATGAGCGCGACGTCGACGGAACCCTCGGTCAGGCCGGGCGGCAGCTCGTCGCCCGCAACGTCCCAGACGTCGGCATGCATGGTGCCGGCGGCGTTGGCCTCGGCGTAGCCCTCGTTGGAGCGCATGACCTCGACAGCCTTTTTAGAGAAGTCACAAGCGTGTATCTTCAGGTGCGGGTTTTTGTTCTCTGCCAAGATGGGGAACGCCGTGTTGCCAGCGCCAGCCCCGATCTCCAGCAGGACGAAGGGCCCAGTGTCCTCGGCAACGGCGCGAGCGAGCACGGGAAACTCCGTCTGCAGCCACTTCCTATCCTTGAAGAAGTTGGCCGTGTTGTTCTTGTAGAACATGTTCCACCATTTCGCAGGGTCCGAGTTGAACCTGTCTGTTTCTCAGTTAGCGGGTTTGTCAAGAGACGTGAATGCGTGCGCACAAGGCTCCAGGATCCCAAAATGAGAATGGCATATCAGATAGGGGCGAAATAATGGTCATCATGAGTTTCAGATGAACTATACTTTTTTGATTCAATCATCACTTGCCAGGGTGAGGGTATGGGGGTCATTGGCGGCGGTTGCGCGGTGTAGTTGGTGAGCGGACGAAAGATGGAGAGATGCTTACGCTTGTCAAAATCGGAGACCGGCGACTGTCGCTGCAGTTCGTACTGCTGCTCAGCGTACTCCCTGTACGTGTCGTCGGTCTCGACGTGGTCCCAGGCGTTGAATTCGAACGGATCGTCGTCCTGACTCAGGTACCGCGACCCGAACTGGAACGGGTCTGCCCTCTTCTGGTTGTAGTCCGGATCGTGGGAGCGATGAGGAGGCACGGCGGCCCCCTCCTCGCCTTCCGAATCCTTGCTTTGGGTGCTCACGTCCAGCGCAGACATGCCGCCTACCAGCTTGGCGTCGACCTGTGCTGCACTAGCCGTCGAGTCTGCGGCGGCGGGCGCCGAGGCCGACTTCTCGTCGGCAGCGCCGTGAGCGGTCATGATGTTGTTTGGCCTGCGGTCTGGCAGAGCGCCGGAGAAGTGCGACGAGCTATGCGTCAACCGAGGCGCAGCCACGAGATTCGCCGGGGCGTGTCTGCCAGCAGACTGTAAGAGAAATGGACGCGAGGGAAAAGAAGTTTGCTTGGACAAAAAATTTATTCAGTGGAGGTCTTGAAGTGGTGGGGCAGGCCGAGGCTGCGAGCCACCGCCACGTTTGAGTGGCCATTGACAACGCCACACCGAGTCAGTATTAGTCCCCTACCCCTGGCATTTATATGGAACCCCTGTCATGCCAGCTGAATTCGCGATTTCACTTGGCTCGCTGTAAAGCTTGCATCCACCATCCTGGAATCGGCGCATCGCCGATCTGATCTTCCCTCCTCATGATGCCAAACCTGCACCTCTAGTCCTCGGCGCTGCTAGCCCGGCTCCAACCCCCTGATCTTCAACAGCAGCCTGCCAGAGAGGCCATGGCATCGGCCGCCGCGACAGTCCTCCCGCTGCGGCCCGCGGCCCGCTGTTCCTCCCGCCTGCTCCGCCACAAGCCAACGGCGACCTCTACCATCCCAGCCCCCCACCGCGCACAGCAGCAGCAGCGCGCCCGCTCCTTCTTCAGCCTCCCCGGCGGCATAGTCCCGGCGGCCCGGCCGGCGCACCTGACGGCGTCGCGCCGGCTCCCCTACCCCGCCGAGGCGCTGTACGACATCATCGCCGACGTGGACGCCTACTCCTCCTTCCTGCCATACTGCCAGCGCAGCCGCGTCACCCACTGGAGGGACAGCGCCGCCCCCGGCGGCGGCCTGAGGCGCTCGCCCGCCGCGGGGAACCTCACCGTCGGCTGGGGCCCCGTCACCGAGTCGTACACGAGCCGCCTGTACTGCCTACCCGGCCGCGTCGTCGAGGCCGTGAGCGGCAAGGGTGCGCCATCCATACCCCGCCCTCGCGCTGGCGATGACGATGTCGATGCGGACGGCCGCCCACTACCGAGACCGACGGACGGCGGGCTGTTCGAGAGCCTCGTCACCCGCTGGACCGTGACTCCTGCGCCTGCTTCGTCGGGGAGCAGCACCAACAATGACTGGGCAGACGTGGAGCTGTCGATCCGGTACCAGTTTGTGAGCCCGGTGTACCAGCTGGCTACGGCTAGTGTAGCCGACGAGGTTGCGGGGTTGATGGTCAACGCGTTCGAGAAGAGGGCAAGGGACCTGCTAGGCTCGGGGGCGAGGGCGACGCTGCCGTCTCGGATGGCTTGACACGCACATGAGGCGGCAGTGGCATGAGTGGAGAAACTTCAAACACTGGTGGTGTACGACTAGTAGATGAGACTTACTTGGGCTTGGTTGGACATGCCTAGTCCCACTCGCATATAGACCTATAGACTTTGGAAGATACCCAGCTCTAAAATAGACGAGATAAAAAACTACGGCTTAGGCAGATGGGTACCTTTGCAGGCGTTTGTTTGCCTGCCATTCTCCACTATCTAGGGGCTGAGTTGTTACTGGTGAGGATGTCGTTGGTTCGTCTGGGGGTGCTAGCACGTTGGCAAGTTGGCTCCTGCAGGAACATGGAATAGGACAGAGGGGCATGGGAAAAATAGGATTGAAAGCAAATACCTAGGAAGAAATAGGCCAACAACACAGGCTAGCATTCTCACAGCTGCATACCTACCTCTAAGGGTAAGTCATGGGGCGGTAAATTCCGGCGTACAATTGTGTTCACGCGGTGCAAAAGACGCCTCAATCTTAGGATTATGCGAAAGAAAACCATAAGTCCCATCCACCACCCTTGTTTCACTTTCCCCAAGCTTGTTTGTCCCTTAACTAAGGACGA